TTTTTTTTTTTATCATAACGAACTACTGCAGAAAGAGAAAAAGGACATAGTTTCACATTGAGACGAATTTTTATAAATTTGTGTGTTCATTTTTACTTGATTTTTCTTTCTGCTCTTTTTATTTGCTCCCCGTAATATAGAATTAGATCGTCTAATTCTTAATACCCGAAACTCTCTTGTTAATTACACTCAACAGTAACGTTATTTTGAAGGACCCATTTGCGCCTCTACTAATTTCTTCCCTTGCTTCTTTGCCCTGTAAAACTCTAGCATAATAACAAGCCCAATACTTGTTTGTTCTTGTGCAGATGTCATATTTGATTTCAAGCTTGGAATTGCTATATATAATATAAGTGCAGCATGAAAAAGCTTAAACTAAATCACACACACACTCTAAGAATAAGCTACACCAAAATCGATTGAGGCCACTTTGACATTTTTTTTTTTCTTTTCCTCTCAAATAAATTGGAATTTCATACAAGAGTTCACTTGGGATTTAAAAACTAGTCAAGACCCAGTTCAATAATCCTAATTCTCTCTCTCTTTGGACAACTTCACTATGAGAAACAAACACAATGGCACAACTATGAAGGCAGCAACTTTTATCAAGTCTTCACTCTCTTTTGAGATCACCCCAATCCTTGACCAGTCTCCACTGTACCTGAACATTCAATTTCTTTTGATGCATTAACCAAATAGATAAACAACAGTTATGTGATTTTTTTTTTTTTTTTTTTAAGATTTGTAGAAGAAAAGAAAGAGTTTTTTTTTTTTTTTTTTTGGAAAAAAACTTACCCAGCATCAATGAATCCCAATCCAAAAACAGCAATGCCAGATTGACCAAGAAATGTGCTTGAAATTCTTAATGGAAGAATGGATCTTTGCTGGGTTTTTGAAGTCTCAGGCAAATCTTTCTTTTTGGCCAGTGTGATAATAAAGCTTCTGCCATTTTTCTTTGCAAATAGACTAGAGGAAATGTTGCCCAAGATAAAGCTCTTTTCTGCCACCACCATTTTCCTCTAATATGCTCTCTTCTCTGCCTCTCATATCCCTCTGGCCTACCTCTTCATCTGATAACCTCGACCACAAAAAAATTCCAAAAATTCAATAAAGCTCATAAAATGAGTGGAGAGTAAAATTTGCAAATGTTGAAGGGTATTTAAGTCACATCAGTTTTTTGGTTTATTGACAACAATAATCCCTGAATTTTACTAATTTAGCACTTAAAACTTTGAATGTGTGGTGACATTTTGGACATTGTCTTCTATAATTTTGGTATGTCTCAACTCTCAAATATTAAAATAAGAGAAAAAGAGATAAATACTTTTAAAAATGTGTGAGTTAGGATTATATCTCATATTTTTTTGATTAATACTTTTTAGTCACATAACTATATTAGCAAAAGGGTATTAATAAAAAATGAGAGGTAAAAACTTAGACTCTTACACTTTTAAAAGTAAATTCTACAATTTTTTCTCAAAAAATAAGAATTAGACTATGATTACAGGTAAAAATGGACCCGAATAATTTAAAGTCCTGATAATTAATGTTTAATTTGATTATCCCAGGATTATATTAAACATAATTATAACTATTTGTGCTTAGATTAATTATATTAAGATGAGATGTTATGTATAGAGAATCTTGAATCTCTCACAAGAGCTATTTCTTTTATTAATTCATCCTACCAAAGAACCTTTTGAATATAAAATATCGTAAATTAAGCTTCTCATTCTTATCCCTCAAAGTTTTTATTTTATTATACTACCAACTTTGATTCAGGTTTCAAATAAATATGAGAAGTAAAAAAGATAAATTTAAATACAAAAAAATAATAAAATAAATATTTATAAACTCTAAAATATTAACCATGTGCACATTGTAGAGATATCTGTAATGTTGACTTTAATGAGAACTATGATTTACTCGATTTTTCTTATTTTAAGGTAAAAATAATAACAAAGTTAATTGATTATAAAATGAGTTAGAATTAAATTCATTTTTATTCCATAATTTCAAAATAAAGACCCAAGTGTGAAGAAAATTAGGAGTTTGTAGAGTACAAAACTCAAAATGGAGACCCAAGTGTTAAGAAAAAAGAAGTTTTAAGATTCAATTGTCTAAATTTATAAAATGGAGACCAAGTGTTAAAGGTCAAAAAGTTTGGGGGACTTAGATGCAAAAAAGCATTTAATTTGACTCCAATAATAGAAGTTGGTTCAGTTTTCTCTCTACATTTCAAAATGGCACAAAAATAGTTCTTGAGCTTTTAAGTTGTAATTTTTATATTTCTGTCAATAAAATACCAATTTATTTTCAATTATAATTATATGTGGGTCACGTGATTACTTAATAAAGGGAATATAATAATTTTAAACAAAATAAACATAAAATTTATAAAAAAAATCACAATTTTTGTCTTTGTAACCCTAGGCGTCGTCTTTTGTTTTGCTTGCAACCATCGCATCGACGTTGCTCTCACATATTTTCTTTACCTACTCACGTGACCCAAATGTATTAAATTATTAACTATGCATTTGGAGTAAGGATTTGTGACATGATTTGAATCATAGTACGTGGCTCATTACAGTGTTTTCTCTCACAAAAAATATACGTAAACTGAGAATAGTTTTAAATCATGAAACCGAACCCATAAACCTAACGTCCATTAAAAGATTATACCAAAATTAAACTTATGAAAAGACTAGAAGTCACTTTTGTGCCATTTTAAATTAGAAGGAGCAAAGTGAGATAACCTATATTCTTCAGGTGACAAATTTGAAGTTAACCATAAAACATTGTGTCATGTTTCTGTCTTAAAAAAAATGTCATGCCTTGGGGTATTTATCGTTTTTTGGATATTTCACGCATTTTCCCATGAAACTTGTAAGATTTTTACAACTTACCTCTTAAATTTCTAATTTTAGCAACTTACCACCCTAACTTATAAAACTATTGCAATAGGTTATAATATTTTACGAATTTTACACTCTTTTTTGTCAAATTTAAAGGGATTGAGAGTTAGGTACAACTTACCTCTTAAATTTCTAATTTTAGCAACTTACCACCCTAACTTGTAAAACTATTGCAATAGGTTATAATATTTTACGAATTTTACACTCTTTTTTGTCAAATTTAAAGGGATTGAGAGTTAGAAAATAATGATTTGTGTTATGATTTGAGTTGGGATGTTAGAAGTTTTTATTGAAGTGTTTTTCATCACAAATTTAACATAATCCTCATTAAAATGGACCACTTTGTAACAAATTTGCAAATTTAGGGTGCTAAATTGTAAAAATTAAAAATTTAAGGAGAAGTTGCCAGTAAGTTTAGGGGATAAATGTGTAAAATACTTTTTTTTTCCTCGCTTCCCTCCCAAATTTCTGATATTTTTTTTCACAAAAACCTGTCAAAAGCAGCCGAGACCGAAACCACAGTCCACTCTCAGACCCCAAAACCCATAAAGGCATAAACCCCAAAACAAAACCAAAACCTTTTGAAAAAAAAATAAAAACAAAACAAAACAAAACCTTTCAACAATGGCGATCCCAGCACGCTCAGAGGCTCCCCAAATCCACCGATGCCCCCAACCCGCCTACGTCGACGCTGTCCGGTGGCTCCCTCCCTTCTCCGCCCTCAACCGCTTCGCCGCCGTCGCCTACTTCGACTCCGATTCCGCCTCCTCCTCCATCGAAATCCACTCAATCTCCCCCAATCCCCACCAAACCCTAACCCTAACTCCCCAATCCTCTTGGCTCTCCCCCTCCAGAATCTCCTCCCTCGCGACCTCCCACTCCCACCACCGCCCCTTCCTCGCTTCCGGAACCTTCGCGAGCTCTCTCCACGTCCTCTTCGCCGCGCCCGCGGACCCTCCGTCGCTCGATTCGGAGGTCTCAATTCCCGAGGGGGTGTTGCACGGCGGGGCGATCGCGTGCGTGGATTTGATGGAGGGCGGGACCGAGTGCGTGACGGTCGGGGAAGATGGGAAGGTGAATTTGGTGAGGATTGGGGATTCGGGAATGGATTACCGGAGGGTTTTTGATGGAAGCGGGTTGGTGTCTTACACGGCGGCGAAATGGGCGTCGCCGACTGAGTTCGCCACCGGTGGATTAGGGTTTGGCCTGCAGTGGTGGGACCAGAGGAAGCCCGGTGGGGCCGTTTCTCAGTTCAAGGGTGGCTGGTGAGCATTTTCTCTCTCAATTGAATTTTGTGCTAGAAATGCGCCACTTAAAATTTAGACATAACCTCGCAGGAGTTTTGTACCATTTTGGAAAAGCGAGACAACCCATTTTGGAGCTTAAAATTTTGGACCTTTTTCTGCTAGAACCGTGCTTTACACACACACACAGATATATATGTATGTGTGTGTGTGTGTGTGTGTGTGTGTATAATTTGAATTTTGTGCTACAACTGTGTCACTTAAAATTTAGGTTCTTTGCTGTGTTAGAGCTATGCCACTCTCTCTCTTTCTCTCTCTCTCTTATCTTTTCTTTTTTCGCTTACTCCAAAGAGGTTACCGCAGTGAGGATAACCATCCCAGATACTATAATGTCATTAGACTTTGAATTTTAAGCCCTTCTACATGGACAATGAGCCGCAGAATTATAGATCCAAAATGACAGCAAACAAATTCAGAAGCCATCTGCTGAATAGTAAGAAAAACCAAAGGGAGGGACCAATCTGGGCTGGCTTCATCCCAATTCAGAGCATCAATTAGCATCATTTACAGTTTACAGTTGCTCTCGATAATTGCCCTGCGCCATATTTAATTTTAGCTAATTCAACTGCATGCCAAATTGCTTCTAACTCAGATCCGGGGTATAAGTAAGGTTCTTGAAACCTGTCCTAGCCACCAAGGTTAAACCACTATGATTGCCACAAGTCATACAGCAGCAGCTCTAAACTTGAAGTAGTGTCAATATACATTTGATAACACCTTCTAAAGGAGGAGCACGGCGAGCTTGGGCTTGAGTCATTGACCTACGGGTCCCATGTTCCAAATGTATTGATGTTAAGTATGGCATTTCGTAGGATAGCTATTTTCGATTTTCGTTACTCAGATAGTATTTCCATAAGAATTTAATGTTGCATTGTACTTTAGAGATGCTCTCAAGTTGTGGTTTATTGCATCTTGGTATTCTATATAATCTTTGTAAGAGTTTAACATGTGGGCTTGAGTTCTGTGCTTGCTTCTTGGTATGTGCGTAAAGTACAAGTTCTAAGGAGCATAGAATCAATTTTAGATTGGGTTTTGTTTTTGTAGGCTAATGCCTTAATATATTTCACCATTTTGCCCTGAATCAAACTTGAGAAGCGGGTGAATGTGGAAAAGCCATAGTTAAGCCTTAAAATGCTTTGCTATTAAGGGAGGAGAAAGCTGGATTGAAATCTGGAAATTAGTTTATCGGGAGATTAGTTGAACTGCCTTTTCTTGTGATTGTTGATTTAGGTTGAAAATTTAAGAAAAAATTCATTACTTTAAAGTGCCAGAGCTGAAATTTTTATTTGGTTGAACTGGAAATGAGGCAGGGGTCAAGGAAGAACTTCGGGGATTGTGCATTCAATTGATATTCATCCATCACGAAAGCATACATGTCTGGTAAGTGTGCTATTCGTCTTCTGTTTTTACGTTATAATAACTAATCTTTGTGCCTCACACCATTGGTTGTGGATGAGATTACCTTGTTGACATAACATGTCAATTATTAATTTTTTTATTTTGTTATATCTTGGTTGATTAAACCTTGGAAATAAGGATTTTTATTTTTTATTTTTCCCTTGTCTCTTGTGGTGATTGGGGCTTCTAGGAAATTTAGGTAACTTGAGTCCATAGTGCAGTGTGAAGGGGATATAGATGAGGATATTGGACTTAGGATTAAGGTGGGGTGGGTGAAGTGAAGAATGCCATGGGAGTTTTACGTGATGATAAGATGCCTATTAAGTTGAAAAGAAAATTCCTATAATCGAGGAATTGTTGGACGAGCTACATGGGGCGGCTTGCTTTTCGAAGCTTGATTTAAAGAGCGGGTACCACCAAATACGCATGAGGCAGGAAGATGTCGAGAAAACGGCATTTTGGACGCACGAGGGGCACTATGAATTCCTCATCATGCCCTTTGGGCTTACAAATGCTCCGGCTACATTCCAAGCGATGATGACTGAGTTATTCAAACCCTTGCTCCGGAAGTTCGTCTTGGTTTTTATGGATGGCATACTAGTATACAAGCCGCAATCCATAGGAGCACTTGAGCCACCTACGAACCGTATTGGGGTTGCTGAAGGAGGGGAGGTTTGTGCTCAATATGAAGAAATGTTTGTTTTTTCGGGGTTCTGTGGAATATTTGGGACACCGCATTTCACAAGAGGGCGTGGCGGCAGATCCGGGGAAGATACGGGGTATGGTTGAGTGGCCAATTCCAACCACGGTAAAAGGAGTGCGCGGCTTCCTGGGGTTGACAGGCTACTACCGCCGTTTCGTTAAAAATTATGGCACCATCGCGCGACCCTTGACATAATTGCTAAAAAAGGGTGAGTTCGCTTGGTCTGAAGAGGCGCAGTGGGCGTTCCAGGAACTCAAGCGGCGGGGAGACTGCAGTCCTTGCCTTACCCGATTTCAATAACACTTTTGAGGTTGAGACAGATGCATTAGGGGCAGGGATAGGGGTGGTCTTGTTACAACAGGGGCAACCAGTGGCTTATTTTAGGGGCTGTCGCCTAGAATGATGGCCAAGTCCGTTTATGAGAGAGAACTTATGGCCCTAGTTCTGGCCATCCAGAAATGGAGAGCCTACCTTCTTGGCAGGAAGTTTGTTGTGCGTACTGATCAAAAGTCTCTTCGTTTTTTTTTTGGAACAACGAATCAGTACTCCGGCACAACAAAAGTGGCTGGTAAAGTTGATGGGGTTTGAGTTTGACATCCACTACCGAGCAGGAAGAGAAAATACAGTGGCTGATGCATTGTCTCATTGGGGCGGCTAGACATAAGGAGGGGAGTTGCTGGCTATCTCGGGACCTCAATTTCTAGATCTGGCAACCGTGGAGCGAGAGGAAGCCGCGGACGCCAAACTTCGCACCCTCAAGGATCAGTTGAGCAGTGGAGAGGCACAAGGGAGTCATTATACAGTGGAGAATGGGGTGTTGTTGCATCGAGGTCGGATAGTGATCCCGGCGGGGTCCCAGCTCAAGCAGCAGTTGTTGGAAGAATTCCACTCAACCCCAACGGGGGGACACATAGGGACACTACAGACATACAAGCGAATTAGCGCTAACGTGTATTGGCCGGGTATAGCAAGAGATGTGCAACGGTTTGTGGCTGAGTGTGGGGTTTGTCAACAAAACAAGGTGGAGTCTACGAGTCCGGCGGGGTTGCTACAGCCATTACCCATTCCCGAGGCAGTGTGGGAGGACATCTCGATGGATTTCATCGAGGCTCTACCTAAATCCAATAGTCATGATGTTATTTTCGTGGTGGTAGACCGCTTGACTAAATTTGTGCATTTCATTGCTCTCAAGCGGCCGTTCATTGCGAAGTTGGTGGCTGAGGTGTTTTGTCGAGAGGTGGTGTGCCTTCACTGCATACCTCGGAGTATAGTGAGTGATCGGGATAAGGTGTTCACTAGCCTTTTTTGAAGAAAGTTGTTTCGCTCCAACACACCACCTTATGTATGAGTTGCATACCCCCTCAAACGGATGGGCAGACAGAAGTTCTTAATCGTTGTTTGGAGGCGTACTTAAGGTGTTTCACAAGTGGCCAGCCTAGGCATTGGAGTAGGTGGTTGTGCTGGGCGGAATATTGGTACAACACCAATTTTCACGGCGCTACTCGCACGACACCCTTTCAAGCACTATATGGTCAGGCTCCCCCGACTTTGATACGCTACACAGGGGGCAAAATCGCAGTTGGTTCGGTGGATATGCAACTCTCTGAACGAGATGAGCAGCTGAAACAGTTACGCTGCAACTTGGAGCGTGCACAAGAACGAATGAAGCGCTATGCGGATCAAAGACGGGTGGAGTGAGAGTTTCAGGTTGGGGAGCTCGCTTGGTTGAAACTGCAACCTTATCGACAGGGAACCGTGGCTAGGTGCCTCAACAACAAATTGGCACCAAAATATCATGGCCCTTTTGAAGTGATCGGCAAGGTAGGTCCAGTGGCATACTGGCTTCAGCTGTCAGAGGGTTCCAGGGTACATCCGGTTTTCCATGTGTCTATGCTTAAAAAGGTGGTCGGTAGGCATGCGATTTCATAGGAACCGGTGGTTGTCGACACGGCGGCGGACACTCCCGAACCGCTGTTTCCAGAGGGCATGCTGTAGGGTCGCCTGAAGAAGCAAGGAGGGCAGTCCATTAAGGAGGTGTTGGTTAAATGCAGGGGCGAGACATCGAGGACGCCACTTGGGAGGTTTTGGAAGAGTTGCAAATCCTCTTCCCTACCTTCGACCTTGAGGACAAGGTCCCTTTGGAGGAGGGGAGTAATGTTACACCCGAGCCTAGGCGGAACAGATATGAACGGACGTACTCTAGAGGAGCTCGTAACGTTTTCGGTTGGGGAAGGGATGTGAGTGCGTGAGGAAGGTTGCTGAAGTGGCTTATAGACGGTTAGGCTAGGCTAGGGAATAGTGCCTAGAGAGTAGGGAGGTTACAACGGCCTGAGGAGTTTTAAGGGAAAGGATTGTGCGAGAGGGGGACACGTTGAGAGAAAACTCATTCTTATTGTTTTGAATTACTGGCCGAGCAGAGCTCGTGGTTTCTAGTAACGATTAATGAATTGGATCCTTTGGTTGAGGTTCCTCTAGTGGTCTAGCTGTGGTGTTGTTCTGTGGTGGTTGTGTGTTGATTTGTGTTGCAGGTACCCGGAGGCCTAACACAACTATCATCTCATACTCTTGCTTACCATAATATTAGCATTCGAATGACTTGCAAGCTTCAAGTCATCCTTATGCACAGTTGCGTTGTAGGTTGAATTCTTTGAACATCCACCATCAAATACTTGGATGCTTATTTGAAGCCTAACGTTAACTTCTCTGCACTAGGCAGGAGGCTCTTTAGGTACTGTGTTTGCCTGGGATCTTAGGTGGCCGCAACAGCCAGTTATTCTTTCTGGAGTTGGGGCAGGTGAAACTGGAGCACATTCACCATCCGAAAGTGAGGTTTGGGAGGTTCAGTATGACCGCTATACAAAGACAACAAACAAGGGAACCATCTCATCTTCAAAAATCTTACCGGCTATGATCTGCTCAGAAGACGGTATTCTGGCTGTTATTGAACAAGGTAATCTGTCCGGTCATTAGTTTATTGACTGTTTCCTGTTGTAAAATATTTAAAAGCTTGACTAATTGGAGTTTGTTAATACTTGCTACTCAACCTGTTAGGGGAGGAACCTCTTGAGCTCTTGGCAGAACCATGTGCAATCAACAGCTTTGACATCGATCGACAAAATCCTTCGGTGAGTAGGAATATGCACCAACTCTACGAAGGGTGAAAATAGTTTTGTGTGCACGTCTTGTTCATAAAATTGATGAGGTCACACAATTGTGTATAGTTAACATTTCCACATTATACTGCGCAGGATGTAATATGTAGTTTGGAGTGGGAGTCTATAGCGATCTTGACGAGGCCATAACACCAAATATGTGGAGTTCAATTTCAAGTTTGGTTCATCTTTTTTCTGAAAGCTATAACAACTTGAGGAATGAAATGTTTCTTAACCACTCGGTGTTGAAGCTGTAAGTTAAACGAATGAAAGTCCTGAATTGCCCTCGAAAGGGGTACTGCACAGAGCGCTGCACTTTTGAGTAGTCGAGGTCTATAGCTTGAACAATCTGCTTTTATGAGTGCAGCCTAGGAGGGAGATTCTGTAGCTATTTCATTTATGCTTGCCTAACAAGGAGTGAAATTTGCACTTTCTGATCAATCTTCGAGTAGGATTTCGCTTCTCAACACCAAGTCAACTGGATTTGTATCCAAACTTTTTGTTCTCAGAACTTGTATTGAAACTTGATATTTATGTATGTACTTTGGTGGTTGTTTTATTCTGATTACTTGCGAAGGAACTTGCAGACAGAAAATTTAAGCAGATTATACTTTGTCGAAGCTCATTTGGCGTCGAGTCTTAAAGGTTTCTCACACTCTTGCTAACAACTCATCAACAAAGCTAAAATAATTTTAGATATTTTCTCTGGAGATGATAATGAATTGCCATATTATTAGTATAAGATAAACTACCTTTGTCCTTTTTTGTCTCCATCAGAAACTTAAATGATCACAAAGAAAATGTATCACGAAAAAGGGGTAAAAATAGGGAAGAATGAGTGAAATAACATGATTGGCAAAGTTGTTAGAAAATTATAGCATAAATTTTATTTTAAAAAAAGTTTCTAGCATAATTTGATATCTTAAGTTTTTAATAGAGAGAAAGAGGGAAATAGGTCAAGACTTGAGATGAATTAAAATTAATAGGCTAATTGTTTACATAAGTTAATAAATAGGTCAAATTACTGTTTTATCCATAATTTGTCTGGTTATGAACCATAACTTGACAAATTATTGTCCATAAATCACGGTTTTTATCCATAACTTGTCTGGCTATGAACCATAACTTGACAAGTTTGTTCATAACTTATCTGGTTATGAACCATAACTTGACAAGTTATGGCCTATTAATTTCTATAACTAAAAATTGGCTTATATATTTCCTTAAGCTTTTCATATTGACATATTTTCTACTATTTTCGTTTTTAATATTTACTAAAAACCTAAAAATACCCTTGAACTCTTTTATTCCCACCTCTCTCCTTCCCTCCTCTTGTCCACCATGGCCGACGTCGGCGATTGGTAGCTATTGCTGGCGACTGATGACTGGTGACTGGCGATCGTTACCGGCGACCGATGAAGTACTGTATTTACTGATAAATACCATATTTATCAAAAAAGACCAGTGGTCGAAGCGCGCGACCGATAAAAATCATATTTACCAGTAAATATCATATTTACTTGTAAAACACCATATTTATTTAAAGATTCGGATGTTGAAATACTGTGTTTACTAGTAAATATCATATTTACTCGTAAATACCATCTTTATCTAAAAATCTACTCGCTGGCTCCAAAGACCATTAAATACTGTATTTATTAGTAAATATCGTATTTACTTATAAATACCATATGTATCTGAAAATCTGGCCCCGATGGTGACTGATAAATATTGTGTTTACCGAAAAATACTATATTATACCATATTTATCTGAAAATTAAACAACAGACTTCAGCGACCGTTAAATACCATATTTATTCAAAAATCTAAAATTTGGTTGTCGATGCCAGCAACTGGTAAATACTGTGTTTACGTAGAACTCAAGTCATCGCAACAAGTAAATATGGTATTTACCCATAAATACTATATAAATACCATATATAGTATCATTTTGAGTTTACTCCTCAAACTTTAAAAAGTCTCACTTTATCCCCTGAATTTTGAATTGTTCACACTTAATCTATTATGTTGTAATTTCTTAACAACAGATAAAAAAATAGTAATACAGTCACGTGGTCTTTTGTTTGAATTTTCTGTTAAAAACAAATAAATAAGAAAATTACATGGCCACATTTAACTTCATCTTTCTTCAATCTAATGTCAATAAAAATTCTTACAAAAAGGGTTTAAATAAGACAAATTTAAAATTCATGAGACAAAGTGAGAATTTTTAAAATTTATAAAGTAAAATGAGAATAACTTCAAAATTCAGGAAGCACTAATGAGAGATTACTAAAAAAAAGAAAAAGTAGAATTGGTTTTTAATTCCTTTTTATTGTTTTTAATATTTAGTCAGTTTTATAAATGCAACTTTTCTTTTTTTAATGGAAAAGCATTCATTACCAACCAAACAACAGAACAAGCAACCACACGCCAAAACAATAGATTTTACTACATTTAGTTAACCTATTTTTTAAGCTTTTTAACCTTTAATTATGTATATTTAAATTTTCATACTCTGTCTATTTTAGTTATTTTAACTACTTACAATAATTTAACCTCATAATTTAGTAAACACTATTATACTATTTTTAGAACTAATAACACTTTGTAAAATTAAAGTTCAATTACTTTATGTAACAATTATTTTTTTTTTCAGCACAACTAGCGGCAATTTTTCTAAAATATATAGCACTATTAAGTTGGACCTAAGCCAATTATTAATTGATCATTTAAGTTAATAAAAAAAATCAGAAATGCTAGCATCATTGTCCAATTATTAATTGATCATTAAGTTAATAAAAAAATGAGAAATTTTAACATCACTTTTTCTGTCACTTTTTTTGCCACTATCTGCGTTTTAGTTTGACACATGTACTCCACTATCCTATATTTTGTTTAAATAATAATAATAAATCACGTTAGTGAAGTACATGTGTCAAACAATGAATGTAGATAGTGACAGAAAGAGTGATGCTAACAATCTCAAAGAAAATTACTATTTGGATTATTATCATTGATGCTCCCTAAACTTTAAGTTCATTCTCAGTTTGCTCCATAAAATTGAAAAAATCTCATTTTGCTCTATGAACTTTGAATTGTTTCCATTTAACTCATTATGTAGCAATTTTTGTTAAAAATAAATAGAAAAAAAGAGAATAATACAGTTACGTGGTCTTTCTATTTAAATTTCTGTTAAAAAAAAACATATAAAAATCACATGACTACAATTAACGGCTTCTTTTTCTATCTGATTTTAGCAAAAATTAAAAAAAAAGGGGGTTAAATGAGAAGAATTCAAAATTTAGAGAGTAAATAAGAGTTTTTAAAATTTAAAGAGCAAGCTGAGAATAATCCCAAAACTTAAGGGGCACCGGTAAAAATAATTCTTACTATTTCTCTAATTTTACAAAACTTCAGCTATTTATTAAAAGAGCCCCTGAAAAACGACCATTTGCCGCTGTGTTCCTACTTTTTGTTGGTGCTTCCACATGATCCTTGACGAGGACGCAAATGTCCTTAGCCGTAAATTAGAGAATAGATAGAGGTCCACAACCAAAAATCCCATTTTATCCACTCCATTCCTACACCCCCAACCTCCTTCTCTTCCATAATTCGCAGAAGAAGAAGAAGAAGTGAACTTAACATCATCAACAATGGCGTCTGCGACCATGGCGGTCTCCTTTGGCTTTTCATATTCCCCATTTTGCCCTCGCCGAACTCCACTCTCTCGCGGCTCCGTCCGGCTCGCTCCCTTCCACAAGGCCGCCTCGCTGAAGCTCAGTTCCTCGCACTGCATTTCCGCCTTTTCCTCGGTTCTTCCTCGGAGGCTTTGCTCGGTTTCTCCCAGCCCTTGTAGTCCTCGCTCTCTGACGATTTTCTCCGCTAAAGGCTACAAAAGGAAGACGCACAAGGTATTTTCTGCTCTCTCTCGCTATGAATTGTGATTTCGTGGTTTTAGTTTTGTGTCTGTTTGGTTCCCGAGAAAACGCGGGGAGAAATGAGATTGATATAGAAATTGGAGGTTCTGTAGTGTGTGGATGAGGTTGAAATTCTTCGTTCGGTCCAAATTCGATAGTTTTAGGCTGTGTTTTTGTTGATGAGTGTAGGATTGAAATTTAAATTTAAATCCAAATTCTTGAAAAAAGTTGCAAAATTTTAATATCTTAAATATGTTTTCTTTTTGTTTGTATTCATTTTCTTATATTCAGTGAAAAAAATTTCTTTGTTTAGTCCAATGCTGAGAGATTTTACGTGTGTTTTGTTTATGAAAGTAGAAGTCGGTTTTGGATTGAAATTGAAATTTGGATCCAGTCTTCAAAACTTGGAAAATTTAAGACAATCAAATTCGTTTTTCTTTCTTTCTTTTCATTTTGCCTCCCAAATTCAGTGAGAATTTCTTCTTTGTTGATAGGCTTCGGCGAAGCGATTCAGAGTGACGGGTAGGGGGAAAATAGTTCGGAGGAGAGCTGGGAAGCAACATCTGCTGGCCAAGAAGAACAATAAGAGGAAGTTGAGACTCTCCAAAATGGTGGGATATTATTAGCAACTTATCCTATTTCTCTGTTCTTTTTGTCTGTGATGTAGTGTAGGTTCTCTAGAGATTATGCTTTTTGTAGATGAGAGTGTTTACCAAAATATAAGCTTTCAAAAGATATACATCTTTTAACGATTTGCAAGGAAGATTTAGGGCCATTTTCTTATTGCTATTCAGAGTTATCAGGAGTACTTTGGCATAAAACATTGCAAGTAATGCGTTTGAAAAAAAAAAAAAAATGCACTGAAGCACTTTGCAGAGATGCCAATGCACTCTTATAGTTATTTTGAGAAGTTAAATTTTTTAATTTTTAAACTTTGACACTTGCTATAAGTAAAAGTGGTGCTTCTTTCAAAAGAGTCTTAGTGGCTCAATTTCCAAATATAGGCTTGAATTGTTTACTCAAAAAAGTTTCAAATGAGGAACATAAAAGAGAGTGAAAATTTGTATATTGACGAGTGGTAGGAACTTGGGAGTATATTTTATGCTGAAAGACTAATGGGTCTTTCTTGTCAACATCCGTTTTCTTGAACTGTTGTCAATAATGGGTTGATTCATTCTGATGAGTTATTGCATAGTTTGAAGACAAACTGATGATTCATTTGTTGTATTGTATGTCTCTTGACTGGATAAATGATTGAATACATCCTCAGTCATTGCACTAATACATATATTATCTGTTTACAAAGAGAGCTTGCTTAAATTGGGAAGGAGAAGTCTAGGCAGTTATCTTCTAGGTAGAAAGGGTAAAAGGTCAACTAATGAATTCTGTTACCCTGGATTTCTGGTGTTATAGAGTTTAGGAGGTTCAAAGGATGTTAGAGTGAGAAGGGATAGTCTTCCCAGTTAAATTTGTCTATTAAGAGAGAGATTAGATCGGTTTTTAACGAGTTTTTACTAATCATTTCCACTTACTTACAGTTGTTTTTTGTGTTTTATCTCAAAGCTTTTACATGGATGGAAAATGTAATTCTTCTTGGAACAAATTATGGTTGTTTTGATCCTGTGAGGAGCTATAGGAACAGATGAGACTTTGTTACAATTGTCTGCTAAAGGCGTGTTTAGTTCGTTGATTCGAGTTGAGATGTGACTTTATGTGAGAGTTTTTTTACTGTAGCAAAAAACTTAGATGTGATTATTTAAGAGAACTTTTTACTGTGGCAAAACTCGAATTCTTAAGTCAAATTGGTGAAATAAACGGGGCCTAGTGGACCTGCTTATTTGCCATGCGGAACATGGTGTTTTATTCAAGCCCATTATGAGTAGTGGGCTCTTGTAATTTTCCTTTTTTGGGCTGGTAATACACAAACGGCTTGCTATTTTCATTGACCTCCCATAATAGTGTAAATTAGGCTGGGTACCAACAAAGAAGTTCATACTTGTAACCAGGCCCTTCAATTTTTCCCCTTTTTTTACGGGGGTATTTCTCTCCTAGCACTACTTTCCTGCCTTCTTACTTCATTTGTTCTTTTCTCATTCACAGCATCCAGTCAGCCGAAGCGACTATGACAACGTTATCGGAGCCTTGCCATATCTCAAAGTAAACAGAAAGGCGACATAGAGGTCAAACTTGAAACTACAATGGCGGAAGCTTATTTGATTTGTAAACTTATGATTCCTTACATCTTTGTAATAGCTTTCTCAAGTGTTCTGTTTTTCTAATCAAAAGCTTTTTCTTTCTTCTCTTCATTGTGTAATAATCAAGGTTACTTGTTTATGCCCCATTTTGGAATTCCTGGTAATCTAGTAGTATGAGCAATTGGTTTCCTGGTTCCCCTTAATGCAAGCTCACAAACAATAAGATGCATGTTATGATAAAACCTTATTTACTTGAAAAGCAAAGGACCATGCTATGATACTGATTTCTCATTTTTAATGGTTTAAACTAGGGCCGGCAATATAGGTCACAATACGACTCGAAAACGATACGAATGTTACATGTTAGGGTTGGAAAAAAAGTTCAGGTTAGAATATGGTCGATCTAAAATTGACAGGAAAAATACCGGTTAATTTTGGGTTGGACTTGCATAATCCGAACATAACACGAAACTCGTAAAAAATTAATATATATATATATATTTTTATTATATATTTTAGATTTTATTATGAACTTGTGATATGCCGGTAACCAAAGCGTCACTCCTTCCTTTTGATTATGTCGTGACGCTGACTGAATCCAATCCATAAACCCGGAAACGAAACAAAGTTCGTTCCCTTTCGTCAAGTAGGTAAAGTAGGCATACGAACCACTTTTGCTTTGCCTTAGACTCTATTGGAACAAAGAAAGAAGGGGGCGGAATGGAGAAAGGAAAGGGACAAGGGCGGTCTTGCTTGGTATACTATTATTTGCTTAATTTTGATGGATGTTATTGTATTTTAGCGTGTTATGAATTTTAAGTTATTTCTAATATGTAAAAAATTAAAAATATATATAATTTTCGTGTCAATTTCGGGTTCACAAGTCAATTTTGTGTTACGGGTTAATTTCGTGTCGTGTCGTGTCAACTCGTAAAGTGTTTGTGTCGTGTCAACTCGTAAAGTGGTTGCGTCATGTCAACTCGTAAAGTGGTCGGGTCGTGTTCGTGTTGTGGTTTTTAAAAAATTTCATGTCACGGGTCGTGTTCGGGTTGACTGTAAATTTAAAAAGAAACGATCAAAAAATGACACGTGATACGAATTGTTACCCCTAGTTTAAAGAGTATAGTATGTACACATGTAAATATATATATATATATATATATATGGAGAAATAGGGATTTCGAATCTTAGGTAATATCTTCCTCAAGACCAAGCGGCTTACACTTTGACGACTCTTTAGAAAGAGGGAATGACAAGCATTTACTAAGGTTTCGTTCATTTCGCTGATTCGAATTTAAAATTCAAGTTTTGCTACAGTAAAAAGCTCTTAGAAACAGTCACATCTAACTTTTTTACTATAGTAAAAAGCTCTCACATAACGTCACATCTCAACTCGAATTAAAAACTCGAATCAGCGAACCAAACGGGCCCTAAGTTATTTACCAAGTTATAATGGGATGTAATGGGATTATTGCTTGCTAGTGTTTATTTAGTTATAGCGATCTACTTAATATTGTTTTATTGACTTCAATTTAAATAATAAAAATTATAATAGATATTAAAATACCCCTCTAGCATAGTTGTTGGTTAGAATTTATTAAAACTATGTGATTTTGTGGTTTACTCCAATGCAGAGAGAAACAAAATGAATAACTTGCCGTTGAATTTTTCTTTCATCATTTCCTACATTATGTGTGCCCATTAAATTAGCAATTTTTATTTGTAATTGAACATAAATGTAAATAGATAGGAAAGATGAAACCCTCATTTCTTTTCCTTCTCATTCATAATACGTAAACAATGTCCTGCATATAATGCTCTCTTTTTGAATGAAAGGAACTCAAATTATGTAGCCGACTTTTTGTTGTGGATTTATTTTCGTCCATTTCTTTAGGACGAAATGGGGAAGGTAAGAAATCAATTTTATTTCTATTTTCTTCTCTTCTTTCTTTATCAACAAGATGGGGTGGCTATTTTTCTTTCCCTCTTTTCTTTTGCCACGCAACTTGAGTGTCTAGAACCGGAAATGTTCATGAACGAGATGACATGACAAAACCATTGTCGTTTCTTTGCTTAATTAATTGTTTCTCCACAAACTTTGGCTGTGGAGCTTGCAGGACTCTGTCTGCGGCGGCTTAACCATCCCAATTAAGTTTTCACTAGAATTAATATGTGATGATTAAATCAAGCACGTGAATTTTCTGATATCGGATACATATATAACAAGAGATTAAATCCGTCCCTTTCTAAATAGTAAATTCAAACTCCGGCCCCACCTTACCCGATATCATTTGATATGAACAACCGGTCCTATATTTCTTAAAATTTAAGGCTTCTGCTTTCTTGATCATTGAGACAATGACATCTTTGATGGGGGGAAGTTACGTATGGCAATTTGGTTTTAAATAATTGCGTAAAAGTGGGTCGTTTTTGGCAGCCTAATTATATTTGATGAGCTTTCGGGCATGGAAGATATTTGCATAACTTTTGTGAAATAAGGTCGAGTAATTTTGATATATGAAGTAATCTAATCAATTTTTATATTTTGATTGATCATAGGATGTGGTGTATTATATTGGTGACTTGAAATATGTGATTCCACATATTTTCCACATGGTCTTTTTGACATTGTACAAAATTATGCATGTAACTTGCAAGTGAGTTGTCTTGCTGAGTTTTTTTTTTTTTTTAATGACATCGCCCACTTTCGTTATTGTAAATCTATCATATTATAATGGAGATATTTTCATTGATATTGGATCTAGGACATTAATTTTACTTCGGAGTTGATAGACAAAGGTCTCGCATTCAGGAGAAGAATTGGAATAAAAATAAATGGTTTTTTTTTTTTTTTTTTTTTTTGGGAATGAAATGGAAAATCAACATACAGATGACGGTTTTGCAATCATCCAAAGAAGTTGCGAGAAAAACAAAAGAGGAAGGAGAAGAAATCATATTCCAACAACTTAATAAATACCAAGTTAATGATTAACTCGTGTTTTTGTCAATTTTCAAACAAGTTAATCATATTCCAACAACTTAATAAAACATGTTTGGTGATCATATTTTTGTTTTTTTTTTTTTTTAAATTGTTATTTTTAGTTCAAAAATTTTTCAAACAAGTTTTTAAGTTGTCGATTGTCGTTAATGCTCAAGTTGAGGTCAGCATCGGGGCCGAGCCATAATTAGCACTAGAGGTGAGATGAACGGACAATATTTGATGTTTGGATTGGACAAATGAGTTGGGACTGATACCAAAATTAAAAGTAAATGAGTAATTTTAATAATCACATTTTAAAATGCGTGGGTTAAGATTTTTATTTTTTATTTTTAATTCATAATTTTTTTAATTAAATAATTATATTAATAAAAAAATATTTATCAAGAATAAGAGGTACAAGTTTAAACTCATGCATTTTTAAAAATAAATTTTTCATTTTTTTAAAGTAGAGTTGTAAGTTTGGTCTGAGCTAAAAAGGCTGACCTTGAGCCCGTCAATGTTGGCCTGGGCTGGCCTCCCGAGGTGGGCTGGGCTGATACTTTAGGCCTTAAACTATTTTCAGACCAGTCTTAAACTATATTAGTTAAAAATGTATTAATTAATAATAAATGGTAAAAATCACGACCCATACATTCTTCAAGATAAGTTCAGTAATTCTTCCTTAAAATTTTGTAAAAATATAAGGTGACGTTTGGTTCACAGGCTCAGAACCATGATTCATTGATGGTAAAAATCACGACCCATACATTCTTCAAGATAAGTTCAGTAATTCTCCCTTAAAATTTTGTAAAAATATAAGGTGACGTTTGGTTCACAGGCTCAGAACCATGATTCATGATTCTGATTTTTTTAATTTAAATTTTTTATGAGAGAAAAATATTGTAACAAACTAAGAATTATGATCTAAAAGTAGGTCAGAACTCTCGTAACAAACAGAGCATAATAGATCATCTTGTTAACTTTTTTTCTTTACTATTTTTTTCTCATATTTTTTTTTAACTTCATATCCCTTTAAACCCTCATATTTCTTCTGATGTATTTCAAAAATGTTGCCGTTGGTATAACCTAAAAAATAAAAAAAAAACAAAAACAAAGAGTACGCCAATAAGCAAACGAGCACAATGAAACGATTATGTCAACGTCCCTAGAGAAACATTCCCCTTCTCATCCACTTATGCAGTCTATATGTCGGCGGGAGGAATCATGTGTGACAAGCAACCTCCGGATCTAACGCCGCGTGTATGACAAGACCAACCACCGCCGTCATTTAAAGGGGAATGTGAGTCCCACAAATATCCATTTAAAGTCATACGTGTCTACCAGCACACGCTTACACACAACTGTACCTAAAATGACAGTTTTATCCATACTCTCCGACAACACTAAACGACGTATAGAGGTGACAATATTTGTCAAAAGGACAGTGGACTCACCCCGTAATTGGGGAGGTGGTAATCTCTTGTCCCGGCCAGCAGAGTGAAGACAAGGGAGTCACTCTTAACTTTGTGAGACGCATCCGTCTCAATATACACATATTATTATGATTTTATTCATTTTATCGATTTAAATTTATAATTTAAGAGTCTGATTCGTTATCTGATTCGAATCATAGTTCATGGTCCGTTACAGTATTTTCTCTCACAAAAAACACACGTAAATCGAAAATAGTTCTAATCTCATGGTTCTAATCCATGAACCAAACGATAATTTTTTTATAATAAAAATTTCTCAGAAACAATCACATTTAATTTTTTTTATTATAGTAAAAAATTATCACATAAAGTCACATATCAATTCAAATTAAAAACTCAAATCGTCAAACTAAACGGGCCCTATATAATTTATATAAAACACATTTATTTATAATTATATTAACTTCTCAAATATAATTAGTAATTTGTTGGCTTTATTATTACCGATATTTGATTTGCCTATGTTGAGAATTTGGCAAATCAAATCCCTACGAATGAGGGCCATTTTGGTAAAATAAACACCCGTAACGTACAGGATTAGCAAAAAAAAAAAAAAAAAAAACCGTACGTACAGTCTAAAATCGCACAACACACACGTGGGTATAGAGAATCACGTGCCGCACGTGCTCGCCGTCGAAGAAGGTCCCTCCCTCTTTCTCTCCTCCCTGTAAAAAACCGTTGAGATTATTTTTAGATTTCTTTTGTGGCCTTTTCGTTTTTCATATTTCATTTCATTTTATTTTTGTTTAGCTCTAGGGTTTTCAGAATCACCTCCGATCGATCCCAACTGATTGAATCGCTTTTCTCTAGGGTTTCCTTTGGTTTCTCGGGATTTTGGATTTTCCGTCAAAATTTGTTTGTTTGGTTGGGAAAACAACAAAAGGAGAGAAAAGGAAAGGAAAGATTTGATGGTGCAGTTGATGACATCTGGGGATTTCAGGTCCGAACAGGAAACGGCAGCTTGTACGGACAAGCCGCCGGTGAAATTGGAGATCGAGGATTCCTTGGAGGACGAGCACGGTCCTGTCACCAAGCGCCCCAAGGCTTCCCCAGCTTTTCAGGAGGTATTTTTTCGGATTTCGTTTTGTTTGGTTGCCGGGAAAATAAGCTAGGAAATGGAAAAGTACAATCGTGAGTAGTGATCCTGTCGCAACCTGTTTTGCTAGCTCTCTTTTCTTTTTTCCCCCTTTTGTAATGGAGACGCTATGAAATTTTAGATTTAACTCATGAGCAATCAGATTCTGTTACATAATTTTTTTTTTTTTTTTTTTTTTTTTTTTTTTTTTTTTTTTTTTTTTTGTCTTCATTTTGTTTTTTTGGGTTTCGTATTTTTTGGGGACTATTGATTTAAGTAACCTATTCAGCTGCGAATTAAAATTATGAAGGCTATGATTCAATGATTTTGTGTAAGCTTTGTATTTCTTTTGATATTGAGGTGGATAATAAAGCTTATATGAAGAGGAAACTATAGTCTGTTTGGTTCCAGAGGAATTCTCAAGTAGAGCAATAATAATAACTAATCTTGTGGCATCAAAGGCAAAGCCAGTCCCTGAATTTCTTGATTTTTTTATTGGATACAGTCATTTGATAAGATTTGAACTATTTGAGAGGAAATGAATGAACTTGAACTTCCTTATTGTGTGGCTTATTTACGTTTCTTTTAGTGTTGGGTTCGAGGGCTTTTGGGGTATGTATGGGGTTGTAATAATGTGATTTCTCCCATGTGAACGTCTGGAAAAATCAAAGTCGTTGACACCTTTTTACTTTCTTATGGTTTGAGAATTATGTCAACTAAAGTTTTTTCTTTTTTGACCGATTAATGCTCAGTGGGGTGCCGAAAGTAATGGGTACTCCGTTCCAGCATCGCAATATAACCCGCTTGATGAGCCCAGCCCATTGGGTTTGAAGCTGAGAAAGAGCCCATCGCTATTGGATTTGATCCAGATGAAGCTTTCTCAAGGGGGTCCTTCTACACTTGGAGCTGCACAGACTGGGAGCGTTACCGCTGGAGTCAAAAAGGAAAACAAAGCTAATGCTCCTGTGGGCTCTGCGGACAAGCTGAAGGCATCGAACTTTCCCGCTTCGCTCTTAAGGATAGGCTGTTGGGAGGTATCTTCATTCTTCAATCTTTGCTTCATGTTATTAACGTTTTGATGTTGGGAAGTTGCAATATTTTGCAATAATTGTACTAATGATTCTTAATTGGTTGCAGTATAAATCACGATACGAAGGCGATTTAGTAGCAAAGTGTTACTTTGCTAAGCACAAGCTTGTCTGGGAAGTTCTTGAAGGTGGTCTCAAGAGTAAAATAGAAATCCAGTGGTCTGACATTATGGCTCTGAAGGCAAATTGTCCCGATGATGGACTTAGTACTTTGACTGTTGTGGTAATGCATTCCCTTTGCATGCCCTTTGTAATTTTGTATTCTTGTGTTAGTTTTTCATGAAGATGTCTAGTTGTGCCTTGTTTTTTTTTCCCTAAATTTGTGATCTTTTTATGCACTACAGCTGGCGAGACAACCTCTTTTCTTCAGGGAGACCAACCCCCAGCCTAGAAAACACACCTTATGGCAGGCAACAGCAGACTTTACTGACGGACAAGCTAGCATTCACAGGTAAAATCAGATTGCTGTTCTTTTACTATTCTTTCATGGGAAATATACATTTTTTCCTTTCTTGCTTTCTCCTAATCCGTGATAAGAACCTCAATATAGATTTGAAATCAACTGTTAATCTCCCTCTTTCTCATGCATACTACAAAAAATTGCATATATAGTTGCGCAGATATTTTATTCGTTGTGTCCAATCCATGTATCTGACACCCAGGATTTTTAAGTATATTGTGGTATTTGTTTGAGGGTCAAGAGAGATGTTGTGTTTGGTTGTGACGCTGATGGACAGATTTTGATTGTGGCTTTACAGGCAACATTTTCTGCAATGTCCTCAAGGATTGTTAAACAAACATTTTGAAAAGCTTATTCAGTGTGATATGCGTCTCAACTTCTTAAGTCGACAGCCAGAGATAGTTTTGGACTCGCCATATTTTGAACCGCGAAGTTCTGTTTTTGAGAGCCCAGAAGAATCCAAAGGCCTAGGTATTGACCAAGGTATGGGCTCTTCCATCACTGGTCTCCAGGATATAGCATCGCCATCAACTCAGTCGTCCTCGTTCTCATTGAAGCTCGATCAGCAAGATTCAGCTAGCGTAGTATTGGAAAATAGGTCTAGAGAAGCTCCTTCCCCAAGCTCAGGTACATGCCATCTGCTTTCAGTACATATTTAAAATTGAGTTAGTGTTAAGTAAGGGTTTTAAGCTCATTGAAATTTTTATTGATGTCCCAAATATTAGCATTATAGCTCATATATAGTGCATACCGTCTAACGAACAACTGAAAGTAAATATGTTTGACATCCAATTTCTCATGCAAAATGAGTTCAGATTTGATTTTGGTATTGTTGTAAATTCCTTTTGCCTTGTCTTTTCAACAATTTTCCAAACTGATCAAAGGCTGATCTTTTAATCCGAGCTTATGTATGTGATATCTGGCCTTTAACGAGTTCTGATTGAATGTTACATATGGTTTCTCGACATTACTGACTGCTTTTTTTATGCTAGTGATGGACACTCGTGCAATTGAAGGAAATGGAAGTTCTGAAACAGTTAATTCGAGGGGACTGAGGAACTGGAACCAGATAAAAGTTCCCGGTCTTCACCCGTCGATGTCGATGAGTGATCTTATGAGTCACATTGAAAACTGTATCTCGGAACAGATTACTTCTGGCAATCCATCCTCTGCTAATCAACAGTCGGAGTACCAGGACATGTTGGAGGACATTGCACAGTACCTTCTCAGTGACAATCAATTGACAACGGCTTCTGATGAGAACTCTCTCATGACAAGGGTCAACTCTCTCTGTTGTCTTCTGCAGAAAGATCCCAGCACTCTTCAGCAATCTCAGGCCGACGGGGAAAGTTGCGTCGAAGGGCCTGCTGGTGGAAAGGGTATTGCTCCTGAAGAGGATGTAAAGGATAATCTTAACGGGAAGCAAGCGCAAGGAATGTCTAGGAAAGATTCCTTTGGCGAACTGCTGCTTCATCTCCCCAGGATTGCCTCTCTTCCGAAGTTCTTGTTCAACATTTCAGAAGAAGATGGTGAGAGTCAATCTTCATAAATAAAAGGCACTTGCTTAAAATTCCTGAACATTGGCCGAATTCAAAGCTGAACAGCAAGTTTTCCCAATGTGGGCTTGAATGTAAGCCAGCTGTTTAATATATCATTAAAAGCTTGCGTTGCCTTTGGGAGAGACTGGGATTCAGAAATTAGTATTGATGAAGAATCCTGGTAAACTAATTTCCCATGTAAAAAAGGAAAAAAAAAAGGTTAAAAAGTCTTAGGTTTTATTGTTACCTTATTGTGGTTTCTTTCATGTGTTATGAACAGGGTATATATGCATGTTATGAGCAAGTTGTTGCATCCTTGGAAGGTTAATGTATTTTGAATGTAGGTTCTTTTGTGCTGTGATTAATTTCCTCACAACTGTATTTATTTTTGCCTTGAAAAACAATTGGGATATCATAAACCTCCTTTGAGCTAGTCAATCTGTATATAAACGAAAATTGAATGAGGCTTCTCTGCCATCTTTGGACCTTGATTTCTTTTTCTTTCTTTCTTTTTTTTTTTTTTTTCATTTTTTTTTGGGGGTAAACATAAGAAGAAAAACTTGGGAGATATTCAATAGTAAGAGATTTTAAAATAGAGTACAAAAAGACAAAGCTCATCAAACTAATGTAATAAGAGGAACGGGAGGATTTTTCATGATTCTGGTTTGGGCTCTCGTTTGTACTGGTTAACTCTTTGAATCGGTAGGGCCTAAAATTGGTTATGCATATCAACTCATGAAAATTAACATTCCATCAAAAAAGAAAAAAGAAGAAAACTCCAGCAGAAAACTCATGATAATTAATAGCTGATAAACCTCATGGTGTATTATATTTTTAGAGATGATATATATATATATATGGTAAGTAGAAGTGATTGCGTGTATACCCAAATAGTATGGACACCAAACTTCACTATAAGGTTTACAATTCAGAACCTCCTCTCACCATAAGCTAAAGAAAATATTATATTGATACAAGAAAATATATATGGAATCGCTGAGTCCTCTTTCACATCTCTTTCAAGCTGCCGGGACACTTTTTCTCTGGCACCGTGTAAAATAATTTGTAAAATTTTACGTTAGAACTAGTAAACTCAAACGATAAAGTTGCAAACTCGAACGATACTTGTGAAATTTTTGAATTTTGCGATAAATCGTTTGAGTTTGCAAGTTCTAACATAAATTATGGTAAAATTCAAATTTTACAAATTATTGTAACTTTTACAACTTTATCATTTGAGTTTGCAAATTTTAACGTACTGAGAGATACAATAATTTGTAAAATTTTACGTTAGAACTAGCAAACTCAAACGATAAAGTTGCAAACTCGAACGATACTTGTGAAATTTTTGAATTTTACGATAAATCGTTTGAGTTTGCAAGTTCTAACATCTATTATCGTAAAATTCAAATTTCACAAATTATCGTAACTTTTACAACTTTATCATTTGAGTTTGCAAATTTTAACGTAAAATTTCATAAATTATCGTATCTCCTAACATGGTACTGGGAATATTCCTCCCGGCAGCAAAAAAGAATCCCTCTTTCATTCGTAAAGAATTTTCCACATGAAAAGACGGCATGAAGAAATGACTTTTAATAGGAACATGAAACACATTGAAACTACCATGTGTGCGAATAATATTTTGGTATGCTCTACACCATAATAGGCAGAAGTGATAGATGCAACATGATATGATATTTATTAGGTGTAACAATGATATTGAAATTGTGTACCAACAAAATATTTAGTTATCTGAAACCAGTATTACATCTTTCTAATATTATTACTACACTGATAAATGTCATGTTACAATCCTTACTGTTACAAAACAAGCATTCATGAAAACATACATAAATAACGTACGTACGCACGCACATACATACATACTGAGACAACTAGAAACCAACCAAAAAAAAAAAAATCACAACTAAAAAATGACCACATGTAGCTCTTTCATTTTTACAAAGCTACCCAACTTTGATGAAAGGGTGACAAAATGTTTTTCAGATCTTTGAGCATGACGAAATGTAATTATTGACCTAATCCAGAGACGTAAACAGCTCTCTTATCCCACCATCATCATTGTAGAGTTGATCAAATTCATGCATGCAGACCAAACATTAGGCAATTGGAAACCTTACATTAAGCTAATCTAATAACAACAGTCTCCATACAAACTCTACCTATTTGACTTTCAGCACCAAGGAAAAGTTACAGAAGGCGCTTAAAGTAGACAAATCTGTGCAATTATTTCGTACAGTAATGCCACGCTCGGGATTGCATTTGGGCCCTTTAAATTCACTTAATTAAACAAGGGAAATAATAAAAAATAGGCCAATATGAAAAGCTTAAGAAAGTATATATGTTAATTTTTAGTTATAGAAATTAATAGGTCATAAATTGTCAAGTTATGGTTCATAACCAGATAAGTTATGGATAAACTTGTCAAGTTATGGTTTATAACCAGACAAGTTATGGACAATTATGGACAATAACTTGTCAAGTTATGATTTATAACCAGACTAGTTATGAACGAAAACAGTAATTTGGCCTATTTATTAACTTATGTAAATTATTGACCTATTAATTTTAATTCATCTCAAGTATTGGCTTATTTTCCTCTTTCTCCCATTAAAAAAATAAACAATAAAAGGTGGTGTGAACATGGTCCGTTTAGTTCGTTAATTCGAGTTTTTAATTCGACTTTAGATGTAATTTTATGTGAAAGCTTTTTACAATATCAAAAAAATTAAATGTGACTGTTTCTGAGAACTTTTTACTGTAACAAAACTTATATTAATAAAATGAACGGGGTCTAAAAAATATTTTTAGGCGAATGACACCTCTACCACAACAGTTTTGAAAGCTGGCGCTCATAAACAACAATTATTTAAAAAAACATAAATAAGACCCCAAATATAGGAAAAAGGCTGGTATAGTCCTGTACCCTTGCTTTCTTTACTCATTTTTTTAAGCTCTAGTTGCTTATACTGTTGTTTACGTTGTGACTGGGTCACATTTGTTTCGAATTCTATTCCTAAGTATATTTTTGTTGACAATTAACCTTGGATCAAGATTATTAATTAATTGTTGTTGATTTTATGCCGATTTCTTTTGCAAATAACTCGTGTGTTTAAAGTTTAAATTATGTGTGTTTATCTCTTGAATACTCGGGTTTTGAATTCAGGATATTTGTGCTGATTTTAGGCGATAAAGTTTAGATTTTTAAATAGTAAGTTTATCACTGTTTTGGCGGGTATTTCCTATATAATGAGGATGGAATTAAAATTCAGGAAACAATGTCGTGGAATGTAGTGTGGTAGGATTGGCACTACAACAATAAAAGTCATTTGCGACGACATTATTTGCGATGACATGTCGTCGCAATTAACTCCCGTTAAATAAATTAAGCATGTCGCCACTAATAAATTCAATGTCGTCGCAAATAGTTTAGGTGTGCAATTTTCAATGGCGCGGATTTTTACCACCAAAGGGAATCCATTTTTTGCGAAGACTTGTCGTCGCAAATATCTTTTTATTTGCGACGACACATATCGTCGCAAATAATACCACTCTATTTGTGACTATGTGTTCTCTTTGTCGTCGCAAATAAGCTTGACCGTTGGAATGATTATTTGCGACGACATATTGTCGTCGCAAATAATTTCAGATGTTAGGTATTTGCGACGGCATTTTAATTTATTTGCGACGACATTGTCGTTACAAATAATTTCAGATGTGGGGTATTTGCGACGACATTTTAAATTTATTTGCGACGACAATGTCGTCGCAAATAAGTCTGATCTATTATACCCTAATTTTTTCCTCTTCATTTTCCCCCGATTTCACTCTCTCTCTCTCTAAACAATCTCAGCCTCTTCTTCTCCTCAGCCCCGCCGCCCCTACCGCCCTCCGTTCTCTCTCTCTATTCCATTCTCTCTCTCATCTTCTCTCTCTTCTCAACTTTCTCTCTCTCTTCCCTTTTCTCTCTCTCTCTCTCTTCCGCTCCCCCTCCCTCTTGTTCCCATCTCCACCCCTCCCCCACCCCCTGCCGAGACTCTCTCAAGTCGAGACTCCCTTGAGGTTAGTTAGTTTTTTTTGTTTTTTTGTTTTTGTAAATTTTATTTTTGTTGTTATTTGCATTGATTTGAAGAATGTTAGGGATTTTTTTTAGAGATTGTTGTTACTTGCTAAGTAAATGGAAGAAGGAAATAGAAAATAGAAAATGTTATGGATTTTTGTTCGAGTTTAGTCATTTTTTATGGTTCTGAGAATTTAATTGATCAAGAATTGTGTCTATATGTTATTCTAGATGTTAATAAATTGTTAATTTTAGTGTTTGAAAATTATGTTCGATGTTTTGTTTTGGTGTAGGCATTTGATTTTTCGCCTCCGTCACTGTTTGCACAGTTCCTTTGACGTAATCTTGCTATTTTCAGCCGCCGTTTAGTGGGTTTGAACTTTGTAAGTTTTTTATATTTATTTAGTTTAAAATTGTTGTAGTTTTTGGTTGTATGAATTCAAGATTATGATGAGAATATTTAAATTATGATTTTCTTATATTGTTGAAATTTAGTATATGTTTATAATTTTTGTTCTGGGTGGCACATCTTGCAGCTATGGTGTGCCGAAATCTTTTAAAGTTATTTTTCTGCAGGTTTTGATTTTTGGATCATATAAAAAATAAGTCGTTATACTGCCAAAATTTAGTTAGGATTTAAGAATTTTAATAAGTTCATTAAGAAACTTTAATTAATAAAATTTAATTTTCTTAATAAAGACTAGAATTAAAATTAATTAAACACATTAATAAATTGTTATGTATGTTGTTGTTTATAGTTCAAATGCCGATTGACAAAAGTTGGACTTATTTGAGGAACTGATTGTCGGATGAATATTGGAATGGGTTATCTACTTTTATTGACGTCGCCAAAAATTATGCAACTTCAATTGGCCATATCAGTTACCCTTATGTGAAATGTAGAAACCATGAAATGCATCTAGTAGAAACTGTGAGAGCGCATATACATCGATTTGGTTTTGATCCATTGTGTAGTACATGGATTCACCATGGTGAAGTAGAAGCAGTTTCAGGTGTCGAACCAATAGTTAATCAACCAGTAGACGAGATGTTTACAGTCTTAGAAGACGTTGCTGGGATTAATGATGACAATGAAATGTTGGATGAGACGCATGTGGATCTAGAAGATGCACAGTACGCTAAATTTAAGGATCTACTTTCTGAGCTCCAGGTGGGATTGTATCCGGGTTGCACTAAGTATTCGTCTTTAAATTTCTTAGTGAAGTTGATGTTGGGAATAGTGTCCTAGAAGCATGAGATGTAATAGGATATTTATTAATTAATAAAAGAGTTCATTCATCATTTTATGTGCATATATTTATGAATATTTTATGAATATCAAATGAAAATTCCGTGATTGTTTATGTAACCTTAAACATAGTATATAAGTGTTATATACGAGAGGAT